CACTTTGTGTTGGTCTATCACATACAAATCCAATAAAATGCATTTACATTTTTGGTTGTATTATGACAAAATGTGGAAAATTTCACAGAGGAAGAGCCTGCAGAAGCCTGGCATTGCACCCCTGAGCATTGCACCCCTGATCCAGTGTTCGCAGTTGCAAGCTTTGAAAGTTAATTTACAAAACAATAAGTGCACATTTCTTTCTGCAAATATATGCAATTATTTAATGCAAAAAAGTTACTTAGCCTTTAACCACTTCGCCTCTAGAGCAATTTTTCCATTTTTTGCACACATGTAAAATCAGAATTTTGGGCTATAAAACTACTTGAAACCCCTAGCACAGTTATACATTTTCTGAAAGCAGAAAACCCTTCAAATAAAAAGATATAGGTTGCAATTTTTTATGTATATTTGCACAACTGTTGTTGCTAAAAAACAATGGCTACAATTATCAGGAGAAGACTACTCCTTGTTACTGCCACTTTCAAAGTGTTTGCAGGCTGCAGAGACCCATACACTTGTTGTGGTGTTTTATGACAAACCTGTCATTCCCCAGATCCCCACAACAAACCCTAAAATGTGGCATAGGCTGCAAGACTCCTCAGAAGGCCCAAACATGGAGTACCATGTTTCTGTTCCTGTGCTCCATAAAATGAAAGAATAGTTCGCCTTTTTTCATGCACATATTTCCTTTGAAGACAAACAGTCACTACAGGCTGTTTTTATGAACACTGGGCTATTCTCATTCCTGTCCTCCTGCAGCTTTTGTCAGAACTTCCCCCTTTGTTATGCAACCTTGGGCAAATGCTTGGAGCTGAGACAAGCAGTGGTTGTCACATTATGTTGCTGGATAGCCACTGGAAAAGGGAAGGGAGGGGGGTCCCTTGTTCAAACTTGTAGCTAGGCTTTCAAAGCACATAGGGGCTTGGGTAGTTTGTCCCCTTGGGGACAGAACAATGAAAACATTGAAGTAAGAGTTCACCTTTAAGGTGTTTTAGATTTGTAGACAAAAGGTAATGAAACATTTTGCGAATTTGTTGGGATCTAATTGGAGAGGCAAAATATAGGTGTGGCAGTAATATGGCTGTACCTACTGCACTGGAAGGGTTTGGAAGGGAGCCCTTTGATGACGTCACAGGAAGTAAAACTTGAATTATCTCCACATATATATCTGCCATGTAAGGCCTCATGCCGCATAACAAGACACATTATTGCCAATGTTAGATGGATATTAAATAAGTGCAAAGAATACCAAAGGACTGCATACATATTCTTCATTGACTTCAGCAAAGCATTTGATTGTGTGGATCATGATAAATTGTGGAGGACTCTGTTGCAAATGGGAATACCTAAACACATACCTCATTTGATAAAGAGCCTCTACAGTGAGAACTGAATATGGCAGCACTGACTGGTTTCCAATACCATGAGGCGTCAGGCAGAGATGCAACTTGTCACCTTACCTATTCAACCTATATGGTGAGGCTATCTTCAGAAATGCAAATTTGGACAAAGAGTCTGTAAGTATCAAAGTTGGTGACCAAGCCATAAACAACATGTGCTAAGCAGACTACACCACTCTCATCACCAGCAGCAAAGAAGATATATTGTATTTACTAAGAAAAAGTCAAAGCCGAAAATCAAAATATGCAATTAGAATTGAATATAAACAAAATGAAGATCATGAACACAGAAAATTATTACTATTTTGAGCTTGATGGTGATAGAATAGAAATTGTAAAGCATTTTAATCTCCTGGGCTCTTTCATAAACAAGGAAGTGGTGATGAAATACTCCACAGAATAGCACTTGGCAGCTACACATAGAAGACTCTCGACAAAGCATTCAAAGGTAAAGAAATTACACTCAAAAGAAAGATCAGAATCATCTATGAACTAATTTTCTCACTTGTCAATTATGGCTCTGAAAGCTGGACACAATGAAAACGGGACAGGAAGAAGCTCGACTCATTAGAGCTTTGGTGCTGAAGAAGAATTTTTTTGAATGCTGTGGAACTAATTGATCACTTTTGAAAGAGATCCAACCAACATGTCACTAGATGCCCAAATGATGTAATTACAACTGTCCTATTTTGGTCACACACTGTTAGAAGAGAAGCATCTGTTTGGGAGATACTGTTTGGGAAGATCAAAGGAACCAGGAAAAGAGGGAGACCAGCTACTACATGGTTGGACAAATTGACTACAGCTGTGGGGATGACACTGGAAGATCTCACTCGACTAGCACAAAACCGACTTCTTTTTAGATCTCTCATTCATCAAGTCTCTGGGACTCGGACCTCAGTTAATGGCACTTATTATTATTATTTTATTCTGGTCGTTAAAATGAATGGACTGTCGAGTGCTAAACACCTCCAGCATTTAGGCATATTTTCATGCATTATGCCCAAACGCTTCTCTCCTGAATTCAATTTTGGAGCATTCATCTATCTGCCCCTAAACACTGCTACCTCTCAATGTCTGTAAATGCCTATGTATGCATGGACACAGAGGGGTTGATTTACTAAAACTGGAGAGTGCACAATCTGGTGCAGCTGTACATGGTAGCTAATCAGCTTCTAACTTCAGCTTGTTCAATTAAGCTTTGACAATAAAACCTGGAAGCTGATTGATTTCTGTGCAGAGCTGCCCCAGATTTCATTCTCTACTTTTAGTAAATCAACCCCAGAAACAAACATAGAAGGGCGTTTAAAAGCAGGAAGGTGTGCATGAGGCCTAACATCTCCTTGGGGTTGGGGAGGTTTTAGAATATTTTTTCTTGGAGTTCAGATTTAATTATGGAAATTAGCTTGTTATATATCAATTTACACGCAGTGCATTTAGATTGTTTTTCTGGTGACCACAAAGGAAGTGAGCAGCATTCTAACCAGTGGGCTTAGACAAAGCAATAAACAGTATCTGAATGAAAAAGCTGAGGTACTAATCAACACTGATGATATGTGACAGGTTCAGTTGTAGACTTCCCGAGCCAACAAAATGCTGGTCAGAGGCCGTATTTAGAACCCTGATGTATCAGGAGCACCATTTCATTCATAAATATTTATTTCCTTTATCAAAGTACATTGTTTAACAACCAGAGCAAACATGCAACTAACCAGCGACCACTAATAAGTATTTGCAATAACCCAGCGAGTATAAACTGAATGTACACAGTTTTGAAGCTGTCCCGTTGTCCATGAACATAGAACAATTCTATGTGATTGGGGGTGGCTTTATCCAAAGAGAACGCAATCAGGTGTCAGTTCTAATGTAGTGCAAACTGAATGTCTGCAATAATGCACCAAAGGAAATGTACCTGCAGGTTCCATTTTAAATATATCAATGAAGCTAGAGATTTAAAATGAATAAGCTGTTGGTAAATAAATATATAATGACTCAAGTTGATGCTAATAAATGTAATATTCTTTTTGTTTACTGAAAATATTGTTAAGTCTTTTTCTCATTTTGGGAATCCAGATTTTTTTTTTTTTTTTTTTTACATTTCTTTTGAAAATATTTTTGCTGAAAGTAGGTCTTGTCTGTATCCGCCAGTACCCTGCCAAATATTGACTGAGATACACTTTAAATCCTAGCTTCATAAAGACGTGTAAACACTGACAAGTGTGTCAAGCAATTTCATCTTCTCTAGCTGTGAGACTCTAAGGTGTTAGCAACTGATATTATGAACACAGTTTCTCTATGCCAGTGTGTGACCTTGTGTACTCCAACCAAGCAATTAGGAACATCTTTTCTTCATGGCTTTTTGCTACCTAGATTTAATATGTTCTTGCAAATCATGCTGCTTTTTATTTTTCTTGTACATACATAATATAGGAATATTACTTCTTGTTGCATTATATGATGTATTTTAGTTATATCTCTTCATATATTCACTATATTTATGTACCGCATTAACAGTCATCCTATAGTTTAAGGCTGCAGCTAGATAAATGCTTCCTTTTAAAGCAAATTATAGTTTTTTCAACTTTTCCTTTTTTTGCATCTACATATAAATATGATCAGTTTGAAGTAAGAAACCTTAGCAATTTGTGTTAACCACCTACCGACTGTTCACAGTAAATATACTGCAAGTGGGTGGCAGGTGCAGGCACAATCACCTACAGTTGTGCTCAAAAGTTTACATAACCTGGCAGAAATTGTGAAATTTTGGTATTGATATTAAAAATATGACTGATCCTACCAAAAAATGCTGTTATTGAAGGATGATGATCATATGAAGCCATTTCTTATCAAATAGTTGTTTTGCTCCTTTTTAAATCATAATAACAGAAATCACCCAAATGGCCCTGATCAAAAGTTTACATACCCTGGAATGTTTGGCCTTGGTACAGACACACAAGGTGACACAAAAGGATTAAAATGCAAATTAGAGGTTAATGCCCCACATCTGTGGCTTTTTAAATTGAAATTAGTGTCAGTGTATAAATAGTCAATGAGTTTGTTAGCTCTTACGTGGAAGCACTGACTAGGCTAGATACTGAGCCATGGGGATCAGAAAAGAACTGTCAAAAGTCCTGCATAAAAAAAGGTAATGGAACTTTGTAAAGATGGAAAATAACATAAAAAGATGTCCAAAGCCTTGAATATGCCAATCAGTACTGTTAAATCACCTATTAAGAAGTGGAAATTTCGGGAATCTCTTGATACCAAGCCAAGGTCAGGTAGACCACGAAAGATTGCAGTCATAACTGACAGAAGAATTGTCTGGTATTCAAAGAAAAACCCACTGGCAACCTCAAAAGAAATACAGGCTGCTCTGGAAAAAGACAGCGTGGTTGTTTTGAAGGAGCACAATATGATGACACTTGAACAAAAATGAGCTGCATGGTCGAGGTGCCAGAAAGAAACCTTTACTGCATCAATGACACAAAAAGGCCTGGTTAGGCATGTCAAGGTGTTGTCAGGCATATTGTAACTGCGCTTTTTTGTGGCAAAACTTTTGATCATGGCCATTTGGGTGATTTCTGTTATCATGATTTAACCTCCCTGGCGGTTTTCCAGAGTGTAGCTCGGGGTAAAGTTTCAGTACCAAAAGTGGTAACCCCGAGCTACACTCGGGCTTACCATAGGGCACTCTTCCGGGATCTGTTCTTCTCTTACCTTGTCCTGCGCTCCCACAATGTCCCTCCTGCAGTGTCCCCTGTAATGTCCTCCGGCGGATGCCAGCATCTGTATTCGGGGTTCCATCCCCTGCGATGTCGGGACGTACGGGGGACGGAACTGGCAGGAAATTTGAAAATGACAAAAAGTGACATTCACTAAATACACTAAAATCACATAGTAAAACATTGCTGTATCAAACCATTTTACATACATTTTATCCCTAGTGCTTTGTCCTGTGCCCTGCCTGCATTTTTACCGTTCTTTCTGCTTGGAAACTGAGAAATGTCCATGGCATCCAAAAAGCGTCCCTTTAGGTCAAAATCGGTTTTAGACCAGCTAGAGAACAGTTATAGTAAATTAGAACTACTTGCAGAATTGAGTGATAATGATTCGTGGGAAAATTCGTCATCAGACACTGAAAACGATTTTGCGACTTTGCTCAGTGATGTGTGAACTTGGCGCTATATTTCAAATTTCAGTGTTTTTGGTTTGATTATATTATTGAATTAAATTTATTATTATATTATTTTTTAAATTATGATTTCGTGTTTCAAATTTTATCCTACCCGGGATGTTTACTAGACTCTTGTTCGGACAGATTTCAGTGAATTATTCCTAAAAATTACAGGCCTACAATAAAAAAAATACATATTTCCATGCAAAAAAATGTACCGCTTTGAGCACAGAAATATGGACATAATCAGACCGCTAGGGAGGTTAAAAAGGAGCCAAACAACTATTTGATAAGAAATGGTTTCATATGATCATCATCCTTCAATAAAAGCATTTTTTGGCATGATCAGTCATATTTTCAATATCAATGCCAAAATTTCACAATTTCTACCAGGGTATGTAAACTTTTGAGCACAACTGTATGTGCGTGGTCTGCCTTCTTCCAGGTTTGGGGCGCACATGCCCCTTGCCAGGGGCGGACTGACAACTCATGGGGCCCCCGGGCAATAGGGGATCTTGGGGCCCCTGTGTCCTTGCCCAAACTCAAAAAAGCCTATGAAAAAGGTACCAGGGGCATCTCATGGGGCCCCCTACTGACCCCGGGCCCTCGGGCAGTGCCCGAGTTTCCAAATGTTCAGTCCGCCCCTGCCCCCTGCTAACCTGTGCTGTGATTTGCTTCTGATTTCAGCCAATGATTTCAGTTTACAAACCACAGAACTTTGGGGAAAAATTGGAAAAATGATCTGGCTGGTTCTGCCATTACCAGTATTACATCATAGCTGCATAAATTCCAGTATATAGTATAGTTTGTAGAAGCTATAACTTTCACACACAGAAATAAATGAACACTTACTTTTTTTTTTTTTTTTTATCAAGACATGTAGCAGAATACATTTTGGCCTAAATTTATGAAGAACTTAGAAGCAGATTTTTTTATTTTTTATATTGGATACGTTTTATAACAGAAAGTAGAAAATGTTTTTTTCCAAACATTTTTGTCTTTTTTCATTTATATAATTAAAAATGAAAAATCCCATTAGTGATCAAATACCACCTAAAGAAAGCTCTATTTGTGTGAAAAAAAATGTAATACGTTTTCAGATAAAGTGGTTTAGTGCTAAATAGCAGAAAATGCTCTGGTCAAAAGCTTTCTGGAGCTCAGGTGGTTAAAGTATGGCTTATCCTAATACAGAAAGTGGTTCTAAAAACGAAACATTTTTTACCTTTAATGTGTTCCTTGCATTAAGGTAAGAAATATATTGGTTAAAGTTTTTTTCCCCCTCTCTTTGACAATACTTACCTGAGCCCGATTTCAATCCAGCACTGTGCATGAGAACATCAGCTCTCTCCTCACCAAAGTCTGTGAGAGCAGGGGGAGCCATTGGTTCTGCTGCTATCAGTCAAATCCTGTGATGAGGGAGTGGGGAGCCTCGTTATCTGTGTCAACTGACACAGGCAGCATGGCTAGGGATCAAGCACTCAGGTGTGCCACGATAGGAAGCGGCTTCCTATCGTGGCAGACCAAGATGAGGAGGAGCCAGTGTCAACAGGGAAGAAGATGATCAGGACTACTCTGTGAAAAACCATTGCACAGAACAGTTAAGTATAAACCTCTTTGTTATAAAAAAAAAAAAAACACACATCCTTTTAAAACCAAGGCATACCTGCAAATAGGACTGTAAATTATTGCCTCTCCTGCTGCCCATGCTCTTAAATACTGCACTAGTCAAGAGGAATCTTACCAAGGAATTTGTTCTAGAACCAATGTCTTCAGATGTGTGAATCTCCAATGTCCCTTGCAGTGCTCAGTTGTTCCTTCCTCTATCCCCCATATTACCACCAGGCACAGTAACACCTAAGTCTTGTTGTGTGCTGACAACACTAGAAAGTTTGTGGAGTGAATGACTTCAGCCCTCCCAATTGTCTTACTAAACTACTCAACCACTCCTACTCTCAGTTCTTTACAGCATAATCATTTTGCAGTCCAGATAAAAATTAGGACAACTGTTTGAGGTAATATAAAAAGCATGCGGATGACAAACGACAGTTCTGAATTTGTTATCAGCAGGTATTTTTTTTTAAATTCTCAAACCGATATAAACTTGCTTCCAATTGTATATATATTTATTTTAAACTCGTTTTTATTGAGAATAAATGTACATTCACAAAGAAATATCCTGTATATGTAAATAAAGGTACATTCACAGAGAAATATTCTGTATATGCAAATGAAGGAACATTCACAGAGAACCATTCCGAATACTTCGGAAATTTGTCAAGGAACAGATGGCACAACGCCAGTTAACATATAACCAAAATGTAAATAATACAATAGCTCAACCCCTAGAGAAAAAGGGTCATTGTTGTACTCACCCTTGTTCTAAGCAAAATAACCTGTCAACCAAATCCTGCTGTGGCAGCACCCAAATATTGCAGCATTCCCTTTTAAGCTTTAACATTTCTAAACACATCTGTTTGCAGAACCAGTTCATCAGTTCACTTCCCCCCCCCCTCATTTCCTGTGGAACAATGTGTTCCAGTCTAGCAGCTGACACCCTAACTTTCAGTTGGTGATATTTTATCTAAATGTAAAACCGCAAAGGCTATATCCTGAACTTCTCAGAATGTGTTTTTAAAGGTACAAAAAGTAAAGAGGAAATATATGCATTGTGACATAATTGTTGATATTTTTTTTTTTGTTCCACAAAGTTTGAGAAAAATTCAAAACATATAAGTTGTATAAACTGTACAAAGTAAAACAATGTGCCAAAGAAAAACGCGGTGAAACACCAATCGCATATGCCAAACAATAAGAAATACTCAGGCGAACAAAATAATAAAGCCATCTCGCGTCACTTATATCGTAGAGTAGCATAGTAGGGGGGAAGGGGAAAGAGCTAAAGGTGCTGGGCTTCTGGTGCAAGGAAGAGGTTACGAAAATATAGAAAGCTCGGTGCTATCCATGAGGAGCAACAAAGGTATCACTCAAAGGTAGCCAACGCATAGGAAAATAACTCCGTGGAATGCGAGAGGCACATGTGCAAGTGTAGTCTGGGTGTGAGATTAGGTTGCCTATGGACAGAGGAATATAAACTTATGTGTAGAAAGAAAAAATGAAGTGGAGAAGATGTGAAAAACAGCAAAGACAGAAATGGCAGGTACAGGGCACAATGAGGAAGGAGTCGGGAGAAAGAAAAAATAAATAAATAAATAAAAAATGGTAAGGAGCTGGAAGCCAAAGAAAGAAGAAAAAAAAAAAAAAGGGGGGGGGGTAAGGGTCAAAGAGGAAGGAGACTAAGGGGGGGGGGGCGGTATGGATAGACATGTCATATGGGTGGAAGCTCCAAGGACAGAGCTGGTGTGCTCATCCCCAAGGGGATAGAGACATAAATCAGACAATCGGGCGCCAGGGAGAAGGAGTGTCTCTCACTTCCTGATCAGTGAAAGGGATATAATAGAAAAGTGTTAGCGACAGCCTAGCAAGGGTCGAGGAGTCAATACAATACAGAGTGTAATATAAAGCCACAGATCTGGCTCAGAGTCAGGTAGAAAGACCCATGAGGGATTGGTATTCGGGGGTCGTTCGGAAATGAATCCAACACGACCAAATATGGGAGAATTTAGTCGGGTTATCTTGGGAGGAAGCAATCAGCTCCTCCATCTCTGCAATTCTTCCCAGACGAGTGAACCAATCTTTTATTGAGGGGGGTTGAGTAGATCTCCAAAGCACAGAAGACAGAGTCTAGCAGCATTAATTCATATGCATAGCTAACGATTGGAAGTATAGACGTTTGGGGAGCGGTGTATGGTGGAGGAGAAATTGGGCCGGGGAGAAATCGAGAGGTAAAGTGGACACTGACGAGGTTATACGGTGGACTTCCTGCCAGAAGGGCAGTACGATAGGACAGGACCACCAAATATGGAGAAGGGACCCATCAGGTGCTCCACATCTCCAACAGTTATTGGGTAGAGAAGGGTTAAAAACGATGAGTTCTGGAAGGGGTAATGTACCAACGGGAAGCTAGCTTGTATCCGTTTTCTTGGGTCGATACGTTCAGCGAAGGACATTTGTGGGAGTATGTAAAAATTTGTTCCCAATCTGAGGAAGAAAAATCTATATCAAGGTCTCTCCTCCAAGCTCGGCAAGCGGGGAGCGAATTAGGATTCCCATCACCGGCGAGAAGGAGGTACATGGATGAGATTAGATGCCGCTGGGGTTCAGCCTTAGAACAAATTGATTCAAAGGGGGTGAGAGGACGAGTCCATTTGTGGCGGTGAGCAGAGGATGTGAGAAAATGCCTGATTTGAAGGTAGGCCCAAAAGGGGAAGGTACGATCTTTCATGGTGCTCGCCAAAGAGGAGTAGGATTTCAATTGGCCTTTATGAAAAAAAGTGTTCCGCTTTCACCTGGCCATGCGGCCAATGTTCCGACAGGAAGGCCTTGTGCATACCCGGAGGGAAGTCCGGGTTTTAGCAAAGGGAGGTTAAAGGGTTGGGGGCATCCGAGATGGAGGCCGACTTGCATGTCAAGCGGAAGATGCTCAAGGTAGGACCAATCAGTGGATGAGTGAGAAGGGCCTGGGGGGTATGTTTCGTCATCAGCCACGGGCTGATCGAAGCTATAGGAGAAGGAGAGAAGGAGTTTTCGAGATGCACCCAGTCTTTGGTAGTCGAATGAATATTCCAATCTATAATTCTGCAAAGATGGCAGGCCCAATGATATTGCCTGAGGTCTGGGAGCCCAATCCCCACCCCTGGAT